GTAAAAGGATCTGCCAGATTTTTAGACGTTTGGATATAATCCAACGCAATAACTCCGGAGTTTTTCATTTTCCTGACAGACTTTAACCTTCTCTGAACGTGTCTTGCTGACTTCATGTTATCCTTTGAACTGCTCACTTTCATGATCACAGTTTGATTGTCGCAGTTCATAAGGACATCCGGTACAGGTTTCTCAACAACCGGCAAGTCATTCAAGAGCCGGTGAAGCCAATCTGCTTCAACCGTAGCTGTATCTAGTGCTGTGAGTTCTGCTTCCATTGTTGACCTCGTTAAGATGGTCTGCTTGCAAGACTTCCAAGAAACAGTGCCACCTCCATGAGTGAATACATAACCGCTCGTGGCCTTTATCTCATCAGCATCTGAGATCCAGTTTGAGTCACTATACCCTTCAAGCACCTTTGGATGCCCGTGTAGTGAATTCCATAATTTGCAGTGCCTTTCAAATAACGCAAAATTCTTTCTAGAGCTTTCCAATGCACATCTCCTGGTTTTGAAACAAACCGACTCAGTTTGCTAACAGCAAAAGAGATGTCAGGTCTTGTAGCACTGGCTAAGTACATAAGCGAGCCAATAATCTGAGAATACTTCAATTGGTCTCTAGCAACTCTTCGATTATTTCGAAGCAACACACTAGCATCATATGGTGTTGGAGAGGGCTTGCAGTCATTATAGCCAAAGCGACTCAAGATCTTTTCCACATAGTGAGATTGAAGCAAAGTAATCCCACCATCATCGTCTCTCAACAACTTGATGTTCAGAATGACATCAGCCACTCCTAAATCCTTCATCTCAAAACAACGAGATAGGAAATCCTTGACCTGCTTAATAACTTTCAGATTTGTTCCAAAAATCAGTATGTCATCAACATACAAGCACAGGATAACTTCCTCGCCCCCACCATGGCGATAGTATACACATTTGTCAGCTTCGTTCACAACAAAGCCTGCAGCTGTTAAAGTTCTTTCAAACTTCTCATGCCACTGTTTGGGTGCTTGCTTAAGTCCGTACAAAGATTTCAGCAACTTGCACACTTTCCCTTCCTGACCATCTAGTACAAACCCATCTGGTTGTTTCATATAAATTTCCTCGTCCACCTCTCCATTTAGGAAAGTAGTCTTAACATCCATTTGATGAACGAGAAGACCATGCGAGGCAGCTAGTGAAAGTAGAACTCGAATAGTAGTCAGTCGAGCCACAGGTGAGTAAGTATCAAAGAAGTCTTCACCTTCCTTTTGGGTATAACCCTTAGCCACGAGCCGAGCCTTGTACTTTTCAATAGTACCATCAGGCCTAAGCTTCTTCTTGAATACCCATTTGCATCCTATAGGTTTGCACCCATAAGGACGATCAGTTATCTCCCAAGTTTCATTTGCCAAGATGGAATCCATCTCGCTACGAACCGCTTCCTTCCAGTAGTCAGCATCTTCAGATGCATAGGCCTCTGAAATAGAACTGGGAGTGTCATCTATGAGATACACAAGAAAATCATCACCAAAGGACTTTGCAGTCCTCTGTCTCTTGGTCCTGGTAGGAACTTCATTGTTCTCCTCCACAGGACTTTCGAAGTGTTCCATCGAAATGGTAGGTTCGGTAATTGTAACTGGTTCCTGATTTGATGAACTAGGCATCTCCTGATTAGATGAGGTAGCCATATCCTTCAAGGGAAAGATATTTTCAAAGAAAGTCGCATCATTCGACTCCATGATCGTACCGACATGCATGTCAGGTACCTCAGATTTTACAACCAAGAATCTATAGCCAATGCTATGAAAAGCATATCCCAGGAAAACACAATCCACAGTCTTTGGTCCAAGCTTCCGCTTCTTTGGAATTGGAACATTGACTTTCGCCAAACAACCCCATGTTCGCAGATAAGAGAGTTTTAACCTTTTCTTCTCCCATTCCTCGAATGGAGTTATCTCTTTGTTCTTTGTGGGGACTCGGTTCAAGACATGACATGCTGTCAATATCGCCTCCCCCCACCATGCCTTGGAGAGACCCGATGTATCTAACATGGCATTAACCAAATCAGTTAGAGTACGGTTCTTTCTTTCGGCCACCCCATTTGACTGAGGTGAGTAGGGACGATTCCTCTCATGGATTATGCCATGTTCCGCACAAAAAGCATCAAACTCAGTGGAAAAATACTCTCCACCACGGTCGAACCTAAGCCTCTTGATTTTTCGATCAAGTTGGTTTTCCACTTCAGCTTTGTAGATCTTGAAAAAGTTCAAAGCCTCATCCTTAGATTTCAGAAGATACACACGGCAATATCTAGTGGAGTCATCAATTAACATCATGAAATATTTCTTTCCACCTTTTGTCAACACACCATTCATTTCACATAGATCTGAATGTATGAGCTCTAGTGGTGCAAGATTTCTTATTTCCGTAGTCGTGTGAGACTTACGAGGTTGCTTAGCTTGCACACACACTTGACACTTAGATCCCTTGACGGTGGTGAAACTAGGGATTAAGTTCAGCTTCGCTAGTCGCGACATGCAACCAAAGTTAACATGACAAAGACGTGAATGCCACACATTGGATTCACTATTGTTGCAAATATGATTAACAACTTTATTGCAAACGTCTGATAAGGATAAACGAAACAAGCCTCCTGACTCATAGCCTTTACCAACAAAGGTTCCATACTTGGATATTACAAATTTATTCGACTCAAAGACAAGCTTGTAGCCATCTCTACACAGAAGAGATCCGCTAACAAGATTTTTATTGACGGAGGGGACATAATGCACGTTCTTTAGCCGCACGATCTTCCCCGAAGTAAACTTCAGATTGACCGTGCCAACACCACGAACAGAAGCACTTGAACCGTTGCCCATCAGCACGGTTGAAGTCCCTGCGGTCTGATAAGACGAAAACATGGAAATATCACCGCATACATGCACATTAGCACCCGTGTCAATCAACCAGTCAGGAGAATGACATATTGAAAGAATAGTGGGAAATATACCATACCCAGCATCCTTCATGTCAGTGTCTCCAATGACAACATTAGCGGTCTTGCCGCCTTTCCCAGGATTACGCTTGTCACAGCGATTAGGGCAACTAGGAGCCCAATGATCAGGATCCCCACACACATGACAAGCACCTTTCTTCTTGCCATTCTTCTTCTTGAAGTTCGTGTGTTGCACAGCCTTGTTCTTCCCATCAAATTTTGCTTTACCATCAAACTTGCCATTGTTCTTGAACTTGTGGGGCTGAAAGTTCTGCTTCTGTACCACATTGGCACTAGATCCTCCCTCAATACCTCGAGCACGTGTGTCCTTTGTTCTCGCCTTTTCTTCCACGTCAAGAGTGCCAATGAGATCCGGGACGAAAAACTCTTGCCTCTTATGCTTCAGCAAGGTAGCAAAGTTCCTCCATGAAGGAGGAAGCTTAGTGATGATACCTCCGGCAACAAATCTGTCCGGTAGCATACAACTGAAGTGCTCAAGTTCTCTAGCAAATGACTGTATCTCATGAGCTTGCTCAACCACGGAGCGCTCTTCAGTCATTCTGTAATCATAGAATTGCTCCATGATGTACAGCTCAGTGCCAGTATCTGAGACCCCAAACTTGGCCTCGAGTGCATCCCACATATCTTTTCCATTATCAATTGACGCATAAGCATCAACTATGTTCTCACCAAGAACACTCAAGAGAGCAGCCTTAAACAGAGTATCCATTTTCTGAAAAGCTTGTGCCTGTTGAGCATCAAGCTCTCCTTCAGGTTTGCCGAGAGTGGCGTCATAGCAACTCATGGTTTGAAACCATAAGACTTCTCTCACGCGCCACCTCTTATAGTGGATACCCTCAAACATAGGAGGTCTCATGGAAGCAGCAAAACCACTTGGGGTAAATTGCCTATAATAAGGTTTTTGGATTGTTGGAAATATGAGCAATTTACCGAATGATTTTATTAACAGAAATACTAGATAAAGCATGACTAATATAGTAGAGATAAAACAAGTCATGCGTTCTGACAGAGAGAAGGAAAATAGCTTCTGCATATATGAACCGTAGCCTATCATATCTAAAGTAGACAGAATAGCAAGTAGCATATATGAAGTAGAACCTAACATGTGTAGGACAAGGACTAGAACAAGGAACTGTGGCAGAACCTTTAACAGGAAAGACAAGAACACGTACGGGACACCAGCAGCAAAAGCGTTGGACTTGGGGTCGGTGTCCTCGCCTGCCATGTCGTCGAGGAGGTCGTGGACGTCGGGGAAGTCGTCGTCGGCGACCGGATCATCCGTGATGAAGCAGCCAGTAGTCGCGCTGAGCGCTCCCCAAAAACCTTATCACCCTTCTCCCGTACAGGACTCAAAAGGTGCGATTTCAGAGGCCTACTGTCCCGACCTGCGGTACACGCCGCAAGCCGGGATGGGGAAGATAGTAGCAGCAGCGCAGTGCTCCGGAACTTTGTGGCGAGAGGAAGGGGATCTTATATAGGCACAGGAGAAAGACGCGAAGAGTCTGCGACGAGAGGTGAAGCAACGAAGGGAGACGAAGCGAACAGGCAGTGGCCGAAGAGGCGCGCCGTTCGAATTCAGTGTCTCGTATACCCGTCGTGCGTGGCAAAAATTTAGACATCGGCTCGGCTCATTCCCACAACCCGCGGCGCGGCGCGGCGGGTGGCGAAGGAGCGCGTGTGGATGTCCCTCTTATTTTCATGCTCATACATGTGGGGAAAGAACCTCCCTTATAAAAAGGTCCAACTCCCTCTAAACTAGCAATATGGGACTAAACTTTTGTTTCACCTCTTGCCTTGCACAAATGGGCTACGTGGACCTTTAGGATTTATTAGGAATTTCTGAAACTGCTATTGGGCTAGGCCCAAAATAGACAAAATTCGAGCAGATACTACCAATGGCGGTGTAGTCGTATCTCCATTCTTTTCGACCATACTATAATATAAGGTGGAGGTAGGGAAGCAGATTTTGTCTCGCCTTACGTGGATCAGAGCGAGCAAACATGGCTGCCTCGCCGTCGTCGACCCTTGTGAGCCCTCCTCGTGTTGACCTCGACGGGGAGGACACGAGCACGCTGGTTCGTGGCACGCCGGAGTGGCTGCGGTGCGCGGGCCTCGTCCGCCGCGCGCTTGAGGCCAACGGGTGGGTCGCCGTCGGGTGTCGCCGCCGCGTACCGCCGGAGCTGCGGGAGCGGATGCTCGTGGCGATGGCGGAGCTGTTCGCGCTCCCGCGCGAGACGAAGCGCCGGACCGGCGCCGCGGACGGCCCGTACAGGGCGTACATGGAGAAGCGGGACTCCGCCGCGTGCCATCACGAGGCGTTCGGGGTTCTCAACGCGGCCGCCGGCGGCGGCGAGGAGGCCCGCGCGTTCGTTGCGCGCGCGTGGCCGCACGGCAACGACCGCTTCCTGTAAGCGAAGCTCTGGCCGTTCAGAGCCATCATTTGCTGTGATGTGGCCGAAGTACTAATAATCATTTCTCCACGTTGCCATCCAGGGAGACGCTGACTTCGACGGCCGGAGAGATGGCGAGGCTGGCCCGCGTGATCCTCGCCATGGTCGTCGACGGCTACGGCCTCTCGCACCGCTCCGACGAGATCGTCGCCGCCACGGACACCAACTTCCGCATGCTCAGGTACCACAACGACAACACGCGGACGTCGTCGTCGGACGGGCAGCCGGCCGTCGGCCTCGCCGCCCACGTCGACGGGAGCTATCTGACGGTCCTGTTCCAGAACGACGTGGACGGCTTCGAGATGAGGACGGGGGACGGCGGGGAGTGGGCGAGGGTGCACTCTCCAGGCCCCGACTCCCTCCTCGTCGTCGCCGGCCAGCCACTCGTGGTGAGTTGTGAGCTTGTGCCACAGCCGGCGCTTCAATTGCATCTCTTGGTTCACTCGTGGAGTAGTTGGGAACTGACTTGCTGCAGGCTTGGAGTAACGGGAGGCTGCACGCGCCGGTGCACCGGGTGGCCGTCGGCGGGCGGGAGGACCGGCTGTCCTGCGGCGTGTTCCTGCTTCCAAGAAGGAACCTCGTCGTCGACGCGCCGCCAGAGCTGGTCACCGTGGACGCCCCGCGCCGGTTCAGGCCGTTCGAGTACAGTGACTACCTCAGGTTCAAGCACGCCGGCGGCAACGGCGAGGACGTGCTCGACCGCTTCGCTGGGATTTGATACGTTGCATTTTCCTTTATCAAAGGTGTCGGCCCCTTGCACGTTAACGAATTAAGAATTACACATGTTGACAAGTTGCACGTTGCATTTGACTAATTTCTACTAATTCATTAAGCTACTTATTACTTTACTTGCATATGGGTACAAGTAAATGCGAGCACGTGCAATGCACGTCTATTTAAACTAATAAGTGTGCATATGCAACACGCGTCTATTTAGGTTAACACACTATACTATAAACTTAATACAAGACAATTTGTTTATAAATTTGAATTTTTCCTATAAAATACACAATCTCTTATTCTCTACTCGTACAAACAATTTGAAATATCGTTTCTTCTTAATCAATATGTCTCCTGTATTAAAAGACCACCCAATGTTTCCAATATATAAAACTCAAAATTATTTAGAAGATTCATCATGATCCTCCATATGCACACATTTATGCAACTATAATCACACATGAAAATGTCACTTAGGACAAGCTAAGAAACCGTTTCAGTACCAACAAACTCCAGTCAAGAATTATTATTACAATTGAGTGTCAACCACAATAGTGGGAAGAGACCTCTATGGTTTGTTGAAAAAAGGAAGCCATTGTAGATAGAGAAGTGTAGAGATGTCTTGACTGGATAGAATCAGCTGTGAAACAAGACAAAAAAAAATGCTAGTTGGACCATCCGATTCTACTATTGCACACAAGTGTCGTAATGTCTGGAAGCAAGAAAAGTGACTTATTTATTATGAAAATAGAACATGTAAACCAAATAAAAATTACAGTGATAAATTGCATAATTATACTTGTTGTTCACTGGACAAAAGCATTAACATGACAACTTGGAACAGTTACTTGAGTACTACACATTTATTTAAGGGCTCAACATTCTAAAATTTTGACAATATAACAAATACCCTCTCAGTTTGTAGTAATAATGATATGAAGATAAATAATTTAAAAATGGTCTTCAACATGCGTAGGCTACCACTTGTAAGAATAACAGTGGCAAAAAAGGCCAACAAATGCCGGTTTAGAAAGAAAAAAACTACAGACATGCTTCCAATTTTAGCAACTCCAGTGGATAAAACATACTTTACCTCTCAAGTCAGGAAATAGTCAAATGAAAAAATGTACTTCTTATAAGTAGTAGAGATGAAGTCATAACGATCATGATTCAAGATATTCGGAGAAACATGGTTGCTCTCTTTGTATGATGCGAACCCGTCACCTCTACCAAAGTGGTCTTGCATAGTATGTAATGCAGAGTGTAATAATGAATAAAATAAATGATATAAGAATTTACCATGACCACAAAATATCCTACATTCGTCATCATCATAATCAAAATGCATTTTTTGCTTCTCTTGTATGTGGTCCAAGTTTTCTATCAGGAAAATATGTTAACTCAACTGTAGATAAGGACGGTATGAAAATGCTCATGTAAAATTACAATTGCCATGTATCTGTTGGACAAACAAATACACTTATGCAAACTTAAGGGTTTTTTTTAGTAAAACTTATGCGAATTTTATTTTTTTCACTAAAATTTATGCAAACTTCTGGGTTTTTTCCACGTAATTTCATGACTGCAATTAAAGTCTTGGTTCAACGAATTTGTCTGTGAGTTCACTATGTAGTCGTGAGTTGGTCATGTAATAACCGGTAGTCAGTACTTAAAAAACAGGGATGTGTGTTGTAGGTACGTGAAAATCAGTGAAAAAATAAATAAATAAATAAATAAGGCATTGGTTGCCTGAAACCCAACTGTGTGTGTTCCAGCGCGCCTCTGTTTCTCATTGCCTCATCTCTAGTTCCTGTACTTCTAGATTTGTCACCACCGGTGAGGTAGCGATGACAGTAAAAAAACAACACTCGGTGCTTACTTGATTAGTACGTGCGTGCGGCGCGTTCGCGTGAAGGCGAGCATCTCCGTCGTTTAGGCCTGCGAGCGGCCGCGGCGACCGTGTCCTCGGACCAGCTGGGTGGCGTTGTCAATGTAGGTGAATCAGTCGTCCAGCTTTGAGGCGGCGCCCTCCATGCACCGGGGCGCCCCCCACTCGATTTTTTTGGTCCGCTTATACTGGTCCAGAATACTCAATGTTGCCCCCACTTGAAGGGTGTCGGCGGTGGGTGGTTGTCAGCGTGGGTATTGTGGATGGATCTGAAGTCGACGCGGATGCCGGTGGTTCCCGGAGAGCATGCCAGGACGTGGACGAAGTTGTTGCAGTAAGTAGAAAAGTGACTTGGCCTCCAGGCAGAAGACGAAAGCGGCGACGGCACGTGTGTGTGTTCGGAGGAAGCCGCAGCTACTCCTCGCATGTCTCCCACTGTGGCTCACGGGGGTGATGGGCTGGTGACGGCAGGCGACTCGCGATCGCGATTCCCGAGACGATAGGATGCGCTCGCGATTAGTTTCCTAATAATTAGATGCGTCCATGATTAGTTATCTAATAGGATTCGTCCGTGATTAGTTTCCCGATAATTAGATGCATTCATGATTAATTTCCTAATAGGATGTACGCGTGATTATTTTCCTAATAATAGGATGCGTCCGTGATTAGTTTCCTAATAATAAGATGCGTTTTTGATTAGTTTCTTAATAATTAGATGCGCCCGTGATTAGTTTCTTAATAGGAGTATCCGTGATTATAGTTTCTTAATTGACCGGACGTGGACTTTCATATTTTGCTCCACGGTGGAGTACGGTCAATCAATATAAATTGCTAAGTGCACACAGAGAACAAATTAGGTTAAGGCTAGCCGTTAGATTGAGTTTAGTAGGACTAATCATGCGGTGATAATGTATCCGTGTACGTTTTGTGAGGCACATTTAAAGAAGATAATGTTTACTCTTTTATAAATAGTATAGATATATACCACAAATCCATCATCAGTAAAGAAATATATCATCATTTCTCTGTCTCTCTCGCTCTTTACTTTGCGCTTTTTTTGCCCAAACGTCTGAACCCAGACGGCCTGCACGGTCACTGCGCGAACATAGAAACACCACCATACACGTCGGATAAACCCATCCGAAATGTTGGGGCTGACCGGTAAACCCTGTATCAGCTCATACGTGTAGCAGATATGCGGATAACGTGACATGCTTCCGTTATGCCAGACGGACCATGATGACCCGTGCCAATGTCCTTGTCCTTGTCCGACCTATCATCTTTCTCTTCTATTTTCTGCCTCATTCGAACAACCGCCACTGTAACTCCCACATCATCATTGGTCTGCCGTCGTCCTCAACCTACAACTCCACCATCGGAGTCCCCAACCCACAAGGCTGCTAACTGCGTCACCACCGGACGCCGCTCTGGTATGTGCAACTCCTCCGCAGATACACCACCAGACAAGTTTTCCATCATCGAAGGACTTACGGATTTGACATGCTTTCTTTAGTACACCTGGCCCTAACAATATCATCAATGTTCTTGAATGATCTCATTTATTCAAGAGACTTTGTAATGGGGAAGCTCCACCATACAACTAACCGTCAGTTGGCACAACTACAATACTATCTTGCAGGTGGTATTTATTCTTAATGTGCGGCGTTTGTGAAGACTATCTGATCCTCATGGTAGTAAATAATGTATCTTTGCACAAGCACAAGAAGGTACTATGAACAATGTGTAGAGTGTATTCAGATAGCTCCAAGCTCACTGGGGTATTGTTCGTAGAGCTGCAATGATGTAAGAAGCGGTGACACTTTAGAGGGTCGGACCAGCGCAGTCTGTGATCGCGTCCACACGTCCGTGGACGTATAGAGGTCTAAATTTGTCCAGTCTGTTTGTAGATGCTCTTAACATGTTATCAACACCTTTGTTCTCAACAAACTAAGTGTAGTTTAGATGGTTAAGTTCCTTGTGACGGAACCAACCCACGATGATTCTAAGTCTTAGACTTGGCATTAGTTCTTGCATTTTTTGGGATTTATTTGAGCTTTTCGACGATGTTTATTAAATGGAGGAGACATTTTCATCAACTATGAAGTTGCCTGTGATGGCTTCGTCAATCATGGCTTCGAAAGATTGCAAGGCTCTTCCCACCGGTGGTGGCCACATCGTCACTCCTCGTGCTCCACCATGTGGAGGGCTCGCATGGTTGTGATAGCGCCCATGTCTGCGACATGCTGGGACGGCTACCGGCACGTAGAGTTTTTGGAGGAGCATATCTCTGCTACTTAAAAATA